CCCCAAAACCCCAAAACCCCAAAACCCCAAAACCCCTTTCATACACCGTTTATTGAATTTTCATATTACTAGCTAGTATTTTTCAGTTATTTATCAACCTCTATTCATTGCCATCATTTTTCTTGCTAGTGCTCTTTTCTGTCTGAGACTTTTCCTTAGGAGTCGACTGGTCATGTTTGGACACACTTCCGTCCTTCCCAGAATGAGATGCATCCTCTTCATTCTTCAATGCTAGGTGTAGAGGATCATCATCTTGGTGGCTCAATTGCTTTGTAGAACTTCTTTCAGAATACTGGGGCTTTGGGATCTTTCTTCTTCCCTTCTTTCTATATTTCTGCAAGGTCTTAAGCAATGAGGGGTTTGGAATATTCTTAAACTTGTCAAATATTGAAGGAGCTCTGTATGCGCCTGGACCTGGATTCTCGTTAATTCTTCCGGTAACATTTGGTCTTGACCCAAATCCAAAACCTACATCATCAAATCCTGACCTCTCGGTCAGTCCAAAGTTAGGAGAGTAATTATTAGGAGGAGGGTTATCTCTAGTCGCGCTATCAGCTGGTTTAATTCTTGACTTGAGGCTAAATTTTCTAGAATTTGCTCCAAGTGATGTCTTTTGCTCGTATGATCCAGGTCCTGGAATTTCATCTAATCTTGTATTCAAACCAGGCATGTGTACCTTTTTATAAGCTGAATAAGGAATTCCCATGCTTTTTCCTGCACCTGGAGTGTAATCAAACTGAGATCTACTTCTATATAAGGACGGAGGAGGTGAATCCTTTCCAAAAATGATCTGTAATGGCTTCTTCTCCCCAAAACCAAAAGTTGAAGTCTTTGTATTCAATGTATTGGGAAGTGCGAGCATTTTTGCAGAATTATTAATTCTTAATTTCTTAAATCTATCAGCTTTCCCAAATGACCATTGTGAATGAGCATTCCTTAAAGCGTTTGCAGATATATTTTGTGAGAATCCTCCATTTGAGAGAGCGCTCAATGCTCCAATAGTTCCTGGTCTATTTAAAACAGTAGTTTTAGCCTTTAAACTTTGGAAATTTCCTTGCTTGCTGACGTTCTGATTACTTTGTGAATGAAACATCCTTCCTCCTCCACCAAAGCCTTCAGGTTCTGGTGCATTCTCAACAGATTGACTTCTCCTCTTGTTCTTGCTCATATTAAATAATTTATTCAGCTTATAATTTTATTTAGGGGTTTTGGGGTTTTGGGGTTTTGGGGTTTTGGGGTTTTGGGG